ATTATTTACATTTTTATTATGAAATTTAATTTTCAGTTATTTATTGATGAATTATTAAAATTATTTGAAAATTTTGGAAAAAATTAAAATAATCAATGAAATATTATAAATCTGACAACATATTAGTTAGTTACTAAGACTTCACCATGGAGCAATCACATGTTCCGCACTGTCGAAACTAGTATTAAAAGTCTTCGGTAGATGGCGCATGGTCGCGGAATTGTTCTTTTCTAGATACTTGACTTTGAAGTGTTAAGTTCCAAAAAGAGTAGAATTTTTTTTACTCTATTACAGAGTTTACCTGTTTTTGAATCAAGTTGGACAAACGACTAAAAATACTAAAATCAATTTCATATTAACTACGAATTAGTGTTATAAATATTTTTTAAAAAACAAAATAAAATCAGAAATTATAAATTTTATTTCTCCTTCTGGGTTGTCTACATCTTAATATGGCCATATCAGCCCTGATCAGGCCATATCAAGTCTGATATGGCCAATTTCCATATCAGGCCTGATATGGCCAATTTCCATATCAGGCCTGATATGGACGGTCCATATCAGGTCTGATCAGAATATTTTTTCACGGGATGTCATTGTTCACGTGTTGGATAATGAAACTACTGTGTTGACAGTGTAATTATAATTATTTATTTGACAATATAAAGGATATGCGTCATATTCATGACTGATTTTCAGGAAAAAGATAATTATAAATATTTTTCGAATAGAATAAATTTCTTTTGAAAGAATATTTTAAATGATTTGAATGTTGTTAATATAAAAGTATGAAATTTATTGAAAAGAAATTAATTTATAATTTTATAAGAGTTATTTTTTCACTGAAATAATACTTATGGAATAAATTAGAAATTTCGAGTGCGCACTGTACGGGATAGACTGTGAATTTCTCGATAAGTTTATTTTTTATGATTATTATATACCAATCGAATTATTTTTGCATCCTCTAAAAGGTTCTAAGGCCAAACCGTTTATTAGTAAATTATTTTTTTTTAATTTAGAATTTCCTAATTTACATCTTCACGTTTCCGTGCCGGGACGCGCCGGGACGTGTTAGGCTTTTTAAACTCGATTCGTTATAACAAGGTAAGAAAATTTCCACTAATAACCCAATCACTAATCACCAAAGTTAAGCAGCATTGAGCGAGGTTAGTAGTTGGATGAGTGACTGCTGGTATTATAGCCGTAAAATTATGTATAAAATAATTAATTAGAAGTAATAATATATAATTAAATATTTTGCTGTATATAATTATATTTTTGGATCCAATCATATATATGTGGTAGTCTTTTCGCAAAATTCGTCATTTCATGAAATACCTAGGCACTTCCAGAAGCGTCGGCGTTTAGTGAAAAATATTTAAATTGCATTATCAGCCTAGGTATTTCATGAAATGACCACTTTGTGCCGGCATCTCGTGTTTAAAGCCAAGATACATAATCAGACGCATAGAACAATTTAAAAAAAAGCGTGGGGTGCTTTTTAAGATATTATCAAAATGATAATCACTCTACTCATATCTGTTTTAGTTTGGTTTTCTATAAAAAGCTGTTTTTAGTTTTTTTTAAACTATTATTTATTTTTTACTTTTTAGTTTGGTTTATTTATAAAAGCGTGATTTTTTAGTTTTTTTAAACTATTATAATTATTATTTTTATTGAATTATTAAATGATTAATTAATTAAATTATTATTTTTATTAAATTATTAAATTATTAAATTATTAATTAAATTATTAAATTATTAATTAAATTATTAAATTATTATTTTTATTAAATTAAATTTTCAGTAAGTAATTTATTGATTAGTGAGAATAAAATAATTATTTATAAATATTATAAATACGGGGAATCAGAGTTCGATTTCGGAGAGGGAGCCTGAGAAACGGCTACCAGAACCAAGGAAGGCTGCAGGCGCGCAAATTACCCACGGATAGTTACATACTGAATGACATACTGACATACTGACATACAAGTGAAGCTAATAAAAAGCGTGTAATAAAAAAATTCCATAAGTTTCTTGAAATATGCTTTTCGTGGAGGTACTACCTTAAAGAAATTGCAGAGAGAAGAAATCTGCCTAGTATATAAACATAATCAATAGAATTAAAAAAATGTATTTAAACAAATGAAAATCGAATAGAACAAATTTAGTTACAATAAAAATTCATTATTTCTAAGCCTAAAAAATATAGGTTCCGGATAAGTAATCATAATCACTAACATATCATATACTAAAACCTTCTCCGAACTCCGAAACACGCTGCATTTTATGGTATGAGTATTATTCCAATCGGTTCAGGAGTTTTCGCAGCATAACCGAACAGAAAAACTGGCTCTCCATTTATTAGTAAAGATTAAAATAATTATTCTCTTAAAGATTTTCGTTAATATTTCTTATAACTTATATTAAACCAAATAGAACTTATATTAAACAATAGTTTACGTAAGTTATCAGTGTGGTTGAAAAATCATCAGCTACGGATAAATTTAAAGAAGACCGTATTTATGTTAATTCATGATGTCAAGAAAAATAATGTAAAGAATAAATGTATTATAAAAAAATGGACAATGTTGTAATCGAGAAAGTGAGCAAAACTAAATATTTAGGAGTTATTATTGATGAAAACTTGACTTTTAAAGAAAATGCGACAGATATCATTACTAAAATAGCTAAAAAATTGAATATTATTTATCGATTGAATAATGCTGTTAGTACATACACAAATAACATTAATTATACATCTATCATTGCTCCACACATAGACTATTGCAGTAGTATATTGTTAAATTGTACTGAACAAATACTTGCAAAAATACAAAAAGTGCAAAATAGAGCTATGCGCTTAGTGTTGGGGGTAAATAGATACACAAATATAAAAAGTATGCTAACAGCGTTAGGGTGGATGAGTATAAAACAGCGAATCATTTATAATTGCTGCATATTAATACATAAAGTTATTTTGAAAGAAAGACCTCATTATTTATATAAAAACATTGTAAGAATAGAAAATAAGCATTGTTATAATACCAGAAGTGGCTGTTCAATTAATATAGTGCCATTAATATAGTTTCATTCGGCGGAAAAAAATATAGTGTATAATGGTTTTGACTACTATAATAAACTGCCCGACGTAATTAGGAAAGAAAATAGATTAATAAGCTTTAAAAGAGTTTTTAAAGAATATATAAAAGAAAAATACTGACTAATTATTCATAAGTAATTAATAATTATAATTGAAAAAGATGTATTAATATTGCTTCAATGTATAAAAAAATAGCTTAATGCAATAAAGATTATTATTATTATTAATATTTCAGCAGGAAAAAAATTTATTCACGAGACAAGCATGAGTAAAAGTGCGATAATGTGGGATAATGAAGGTAACGTACAGTAAATTGCCGATCGATGCAGCTCAGGAGCCCAAAAAAAAAAACAATTATTAATACAAACAACAAAAGTTATAATTTTTATTTTTCACGACTATCATTTATCTTTATTAATTAAGAGTTTTTCATGTCATCGTAGTCTTGTCTAGTTATATGTTGGTCAGGAACTATGAATGAAAATTCCTTATCTTCCCTAGTATTGATTCAATGTAACTCTATCCATACTTGGTAACAAATAAGCTGAAAACAATAATAATTTACAATAAAAACAATGGAATTATTTTATAGACATTTATTAAATATTTTATTATTATTACTAATCATGGAGATTTTAGAGAGTACATTGTTAATTCCTAACAAATTAATGAAACATCTTTGGTCTGTTGCAACAACAAAAATACTTTTACTTTAACTTGTTAAGTATATTGCACGGGCCGCTTAATAATCGCTTACATTACATAAATAACTACCGTAATTAATTAATACAAGATTATATAAGTACTGGACTTGACTATATAATTACTTAAAATTTTAAAATAAATGCTTACTGGTACACTAGTATAATGTAGGCCCTAGTGACCTGAAACTATATATTTCATTAAATAATTTCAGAGTAATTAATTAATCAATAATTATAAGTTTTTTGGAGTTGTTCTACATCATATAAATTTTAA